TTTTTTTTTTAATTATACAAAAATCTAGACTTTATACATTTTAAAATCGTTTCTCTATTTCTTTACAGCACAGAACGTACATTAAAAGAATAATTTAAAATTGTTGCGCTTTCTGTTATCGGTGTGGCGTTCATTGAGACACAAATTCGCGAGATGTGTCACATAAAGCGATACGAGGACAGTTAATCAGATAACTATGGTTCCAGTAACGGTAAAGAAATGTTTACGAGCATTTCGAATGGATGATCGATAATACTCTGTAAAGTGAAATGCAAGCGGCCTTCGTGTGCGTAGCTCATCTATCTGAGAGCGATTTCTGGACTTGGTCCAAAGTTACATCATTGCGAGTTTGTTATATTTCGCGATGATAGTTGCGAGAGAGAGTCATTGGACGCACGTTAATGCCGTTTACGGGATCGCAATTTATGGTATTATTCGATAATACCGTAATCAGGATACCTCGAGAATACTTAAACACAATTATCGTAATATTAATTATCATTTAATATAAGTAAAATAGCGCGTGCTATTTTTCGTTTTTCTGTTATTAGACTATCTTTTACAATTGTTGCAAACAGCGCAAAATGAGAAAAAGATTGAAGAATATAAGTCAGATGGAATCTAAACGCTTATTAATATAAGTGGAGTTGACATTCTGAGAAAGACAGACAGTTCGTTTAACTGGCTATTCAGAAACTGGCGCAACTCCAGAGGTATTTCTAAGGTTACCAAGGTTAAGACACACGATCGTTTTAGGGCCTTCAAATTAACGAGCCCACTTTAAAATCAGCCTTGAAGATAGAGTCAATTTAAAGTCCCTTCGTCGCAAGGAGGATTACAGATTACATATTTTTAACTACCTCTCTTTCTTTTCCTCTCTTCTTGATATTCTATAAATTCTTTATTAGATATCGAGTTAATTTGTAACTTATAACAGGATTTCTCTCGTAACATCCTTTTTTATCTCAATTGTGTGTGTCCTCAAAATACATTAATTAATGACATCACAATGGTCATAAATGAAAACAACATTGATTTTTAATTACTTTAATTCAAAATAATTTTTCTTAATATATCAAGTATTTTTAAATATAGATATTTTAATAAAATATTTATTTATTTGTTATTATTATTAAATTTACTTTAGAAAATTTCATAAAGCGATGTCAATCATAATTTTTTTCTACAAAAATTAATTTTATTATTCCTTAATTATGATGTGACATGCGCAAAAATTAGGCTATAGGCACGATTTAAACGTATTGGATAATGCGATTCGTGTAATGCATGTGAAATTATAATCGGTCAGTTATCACATTATCGTATAACAAAGCGTTCTTGACCCGTTTAGTCCCATTAACAGTAAGTAGTGGCCGCGATTTGATTTTGTCCATCCACGAAATATATAGATATCAGCACAGATATTATCAATGAATAGATTTGCAGTATCATTGATTAATTGACTCGGTTACTACGGGAGCCTTTACGTCAAAAGTGTAGGGACACATAATTAGTATACGTGTGTAGTATATCACGAAGCTATCATGTATCGATTAATCGCGTTTACGCGAACACATGACGTCAGATTTGAGCTTATTCAATGAATGCTCTCAACGGAAAGCTATGCAACCGGGTTTATTACTTCGACCGACTTTTCGAAAGACAATCGAATTCAAAGAAGAAAGATCAATAAAGCAACAACTGCGATTAAAGAGTAGTATTCCTCTAATCCGGTTTAATTTTATGACGAATGAATCGTGGCTAGTTGAATGATTTTGAGAAATAATATAAACGTCAGGTTCAAGTTTTATTTTTCGAAAAAAATAAAATATAAATTATTTTTTAACTACAATACCCGCTTTCCAAAAATTATTACAATCACTGTGTTTAACAGCACTTATCAATTTTCAAGGAAAGTGCAGAATATTTTCAAACATTTATATCATTGATCAAAGCGATCACTCTTCACTTACAATCAATGCTAAAGCGATAACGATGACGAGTAAATGTTCAAGTCGGTGAAGTCCCGCACGGCGAATGCAAGTGATGCGGCTGTGATTAAATGCAACCCGCTCTTTTGATTAGTCGCAGCCAGCGCGCGGCCTTTATATATCATAATTATAGATTAAATTCCATGAGCATCGCGTCAATTGCCGCGACCTGCGCGGCACGTCATCGAATAGAAATGGATTAACGCGTTTCACCGAGCGATATTTCATCACGTTCGATGTCATCGGGAATGTTACTTAGATAAACGCGTTTTTTTTTGTCGTAATACAGGGGAGTCACGTGTATATTCCGTCATCAAACTGGCTTCGTGATTCATGCTTTTGCGCGTGATACAACGTGGTTCGCGATTACACATACTTTATAGATCATATGCCAATTCTTCGAATTACTCGCGCAATTCTGGAAATCTTCTTTTTCTTTGAAAAGAAAGTTCTGCCGTTCTGCAGGCTTCCGACAAGTATGCAAATTTGAATAGCAGATTATATTTTATTCTTTTTTGAAAATTCTCGACAATCACAAAAAAGCCTCTATACGATATTTATAGAATTCTATATTAAAGTGTTATTTAATATTTATAAAGCCATTATACGATATTTATTTCATAATTTATTTTTATTTTCTATTATATATTTTATGCTTTTATTTTTGCATTCATTGAAAAGATCACAATTTGTTGCAATTTTTACGTATCTTGTTTAACATAATTTTTTAATAAACTACAATGTGGATTGGGGCAAAAAGAAATTTCATCGGGAGAAGGAGCTAAAGTCAAAATTCGAATATTAACAAACGTTCGCCTATGCTAAACAGACCGACGATATTTGCATACATTCATAAGGCGGAGTGCATTCTGTAATCACTGGCAGCGGTCAGACTATC